GCCTGGCCCAGCCTGAGTGAGAGACTGATGGCTGTTTGCAAGACTAGCCACGTCCCCCCAGCAGAGACCCTCACCCCATGAGAGTGTGTCCAGCCTGAGTAAAGAGCTGAGAGCCGTTTTCAAGGTTCTGGCCAGCCTGGGTGAGAGGCTGAGAGCCATTTTCAGAATGGCCACGCTCCCCAGCAGGGACCCTCACCCCAATGGTGGTGTGTCCAGCCTGGGTGAGGGGCTGAGGGCTGTTTGCAGGCCCCTCCCTTGGCGGCCGGCCCGGGCGACCCAAGCCTCCCGTGCGCTCAGGCTGGCTCCATGGCTGCCGCCCACAGGCCCCTTCTTCAGCAGCCAGCCAGGGTGGGTGGGAAGCTTGGCTTCCTCCGTCGCCAGGGGTGACCCAAGCCTCCCACCTGCTCTAGCTGGCTCCTGGCCGCCGCCATCTTTGTCCCGCTAATTTGCATATTCCCTCCTGATTGGCTGTGGGATGGTGCAGAGGTACGGCCAATTTACATATTTGTCTATTATTAGTGTAGATACAGCAAAAGGGTAATATGCAAGTAGACCGAATGGCAGAACAACCGAACAACTAATCAAAGTGTAATATGCTAATAATATGTTAAGGTTGCTCAACCGCTTGCTATGATGTGCACTGACCAACAGGGGGCAGAAAGTCAACTGGTTGACCAGTCGCTATGAAGTGCACTGACTACCAGGGGGCAAATGCTCCAACCTATAGGTTAGCTTGCTGCTGGGGTCCGACTGATCAGGACTGAACAAGATGGGCCGGACATGCCCTGGAGCCCTTCTATGGTCCCTCCCTGGCCCGATCATGCACCAGTGAGGTCCCTCAGCTTGGCCTACACCCTCTCACAATCTGGGACCCCTCGGGGTATGTTGGAGAGCTGGTTTTAACCCAATCCCCCAGGCCACTTCCCTTGGGAGGGCGCCAGATGCAGGGCTCATGGCTGGCGAGCACTGCTACAGCAGTGTGAGTCTCTCCTGATCAGGACTGATTGGGTGCGAGCCCACGGCAGGCACAGTGGGGCCGAGATGAGTGGGAGTGGCAGATAAGAGCTGCAGGCAGCGTTGGACTGCGGGTTTCGGTCCGATCCCTATAGGCCACTCAGATGGACCCCACCCATGCACGAATTCATGCACCGGGCCTCTAGTCTATATTAATAAAAGCATAATATGCTAATTAAACCAGACAGTCAAATGACCTTCCAGACGTCATTCCGGATGTCTTCTGGACAAAGTCGTGGTGGTGGGGCCGAGGCAAAGGCAGTTGGGGTGATCAGACAGGCAGGCGAGCAGTTAGGGGTGATCAGGCAGGCAGGCAGAGTGGTTAGGGGCAACCAGGCAGGCAGGAGAGCAGTTAGGGGTGATCAGTCAGGCAGGCAGTGTGGTTAGGGGCAATCAGGCCAGAAGGCAGAATGGTTAGGGGTGATCAGGCAGGCAGGCGAGTGGTTAGGGGCGATCAGGCAGGCAAGCAGAGGGGTTAGGGGCGATCAGGCAGACAGGAAGAGTGGTTAGGGGTGATCAGGCAGGCAGGTGAGCATTTAGGAGCTAGCGGTCCTGGATTGTGAGAGGGTGCAGGCTGGGCTGAGGGACACCCCTTCCCATGCACGAATTCCATGCACTGGGCCTCTAGTATAGGCTGGGCTGAGGGACACCCCTTCCCATGCACGAATTCCATGCACTGGGCCTCTAGTATAGGATATGTACCCAGCACCTCTATGAAAAATAAAACAGCTACCCTATGTTATTGTAGAGATTGGGAGCACAATTTTAAGCAATAATTACTCATTTTTCACAGTGTCATTTGTATATACTGGAATCTACATACTACCATTTATCTTTCCTTAACATTTAAAGCATGCCTTAGCTGGCAATTCATTTCATTTTCTTTTGTTTTCAGGTCATATTATTTGAATAGAATCAAAGACCTTCCTGCATGAACTTACTAAAACATTCTCTATCTCTGACTGAGTTGCAAGGGTGGAGTTAGATGTTGGCTTCTTGATACTATTGCAATTTTTTATACGTTTGCTTTTCCTTGACATCTCCAGATATAATATCAAGAGGAAACTCATTATGATTCTACCTGAATGGTATCTCTGCCTTATGATTTTCAAAAGTATCTCTAAATTGTTACAACTGGATACTTGTTGAAAATTAATATTTAGTATATGAAAATAAAAGACAGCCACCATTTTCCTAAATAAATGCCAATTACTTAACTGAGTTGTTTTTTTTTGAATGAGAAGATTCAGTCTTAAATGATGTTCTTACAAAAATCTGTTCCCATCAGTAGTTTACAGCACAGTCTTGCTGTGTATAATCAACGATCAATTATAAGCATTGCAATTACTATAGTTTTATTTTGAAGAAGTTGTGAAGAAATGATTAATAAAACATAATATAGATGTACATATGTAACTTAAAGGTTTTTTCTGTCCAGAAGCCAAGTCTTTTGTAGATAAAAGTGTCAATGTATTCTTTCTTCCATCAGATGTGGGTTCTGTTGAAGGCCTTGCCTATCACCGAGCCTGGGATACACTGTACTGGACCAGCTCCACTACCTCATCCATCACCAGACACACAGTAGACCAGACTCGGCCCGGAGCCTTTGACAAGGAGGCTGTCATCACCATGTCAGAGGATGACCATCCACATGTGCTCACCCTGGATGAATGCCAAAAGTAAAAACAGTGCATTTTTATTTCTTTATCATCATTATATGCCAACGACTGTCAGGTTAATTTTAAAATGAACTCACTTTAAAATTAAAGATTTCCTTTGAAGTTCTCTTTTCACAATTCATAGAACTAGTTTTTGTAGAAGCATTGTAAATGTGAATAAAGAAAATCCATACTCTTTGAATGCATGGCATCACTTCCATGGGTAATCCAGTCAAAGCAAATTAAATAATGAAAGGGAAAACAGACAATATTGTGCTGGAAAAGGCATATGAAAAAGACATTAGGGCACAGCTGATTGAAATTAGAAATTTGGGGGGGGAGACTATTAGCATGAATTGAAAACTAAAAGGTGTTTTTGTAATTTAATTTAGTAATTTTAACAACTGGGGATCTTTCTAATTAAAATACTGAGAAAACAAACAATAAAACATCTTGTTTGCTGCTATATTTTCAACATTTGATGCTAGACTACAGCTTAAATAGTCCACATTTGTTGATGATAGAATGTGCAGACATTTATAATAATACTTACAAATAATTCATAGCAAGAGAAAATACTCAGGCTATAATATGGAGCAAATATAAAATGACAAATTAGAAAAAAGTCATGCTTTTTGAAATGCCATAAAAAAGTAATTGTAAGAAAACTGAAGAACAAAGCTTGGGGTAAGTAGGAAAAAAAAGACATATCTTTATATCTATATATCTATATCTATATATCTATATCTATATCTATCTCTATCTCTATCTCTATCTCTATCTCTATCTCTATCTCTATCTCTATCTATCTATATATCTATATCTATGGAGTTCCATTCTCATACAATATGGTAAGATATTTATTACCTACTAGAAAATCCTTTATCTTTAAATGAAATAAGTAAATAAAAGTCAGACCAATCTGGCTTTGACTGAGCAGAAATAGAAGAGCTCTTTTTAGATGTGGTGAGGAAAAATCAGAGACTAAAAAACAATGACATGAAACACTGGCCCTGACTACTTGAGAGAAGAAAGAGCTACATAAATCACTCAGCGCGAGAGGAACTAAATCCGGACCCTCTTATAGAGTTGGAAATACGTTTAGACTTATTTCACTTAATTGAGTACCTTCATCTTATAAATAGAGGCTCTGAAGGTTGAGAGATGAATGCTGAGAGGAGGTTGACTTCTCAGAGCTCTGGTGATTTACTTCAGATGGACACAGGCCTTCAGATGCCTGGGCTATAATGCTACATTGCCTTTAAATGATTATACATAGAAATGATATATGCAGTCTTGCTTAAATGTGAAATATTATGTCAAATTGTTTTTCCTTGTCAGTATTTATTAAGCATAAATTTTCAAATATTTAAAGCAGCCTTCCTGTCAGATTCCCTCTCTTCTGCCTACTTTCTCTTATTTACCCCTTCCCTTTCTCCCTTCCTCTCCTTATCCTCCCTCCCTCCATCCCTCCCTCCCTCCCTCCCTCCCTCCCTCCCTCCCTCCCTTCCTCCCTCTTTCCCTCCCTCCCTCCCTCCCTCCCTCCCTCCCTCCCTTCCTTCCTCCCTTCTTTCCTCCCTTCTTTCTTTCCTTCCTTCCCTTTTTCTTTCCATCTTCCATCCTAAGCAGTAACACCCAATCTTCTAATAAACTCTTAGGTACAGTCTTATAGATAAAAAGGAGAAGCGGGGAGAGAAAGAGTGTTTTAGTAAAAGTAGGGCTTGGAGATTGGAATCTGCAGCCTCTTCACTCTTCCAGTGACTTCTAAGGGCCATAGAATCCTAGGACTTAGATTCTATAAGAATAGTCAAAGAATAGTTTGACAAAGCATTCTATAAAATCTTTAAGTAACAAATATTATGTTTAAGGGTTGATAACACCTGGGATTCCAGAAACAACATTGTAATTTATAGAAAAAGCTCACTGAGAGAGAAAAAAAACAAGATACTAAAGAAATACTAGTATAGGAGTTTAGTAATTGTATTTCTCTAAAACATTTAAATGGAGCATGCCGAATTTAAAAAGCGAACCTGGAAGGAGAGGGAGATTTTGATTTTCACCAATTGAAGAAAAGTAGTAGGGTAAGAACAATGTCTAAAATGATCATATTGGACCTGCTGAAAAAGATATTAATAAGTAAGCATATTCTCAGTTCAGAGAAAATTTAAGATGATGGTTTTATACCTGGTATTAATAAATCCTCACTATGCAGAAAACTGACTCGATTTAATTAAATTACTCTTTGAGAGAATACATAGAAAATTGTTTTCCAGAAATAGTTTTCAGGTTTCATCTTTTTTAATTGGAAAAATATGCATGCAAATATAATATACATATCCCCGTTATTACCTACACTTCCTTAAGGACCAGAGGATACGAGAAATAATTTGGTTCTTTTAAAATAGTTTGACATTGCCATGTTTCCACTAATGTTTTTACTGTTAATGAAAATTTTAATTATTTTTACATTTTTTAAATTTATTTAGTTTAATGTTTTGGACCAACTGGAATGAACAGCATCCAAGTATTATGAGATCTACCCTGACTGGGAAAAATGCTCAAGTGGTGGTCAGTACAGACATACTCACTCCCAATGGCCTCACCATTGACCACCGTGCAGAGAAACTTTATTTCTCGGATGGCAGCCTAGGAAAAATTGAAAGGTGCGAATATGATGGGTCCCAGAGACATGTAAGTTGAGAATTTCTTGATTATAAATGTAAACATTTGAAAAATATATGCTTTATTCTTGCCAACAATATGCATATGAAGAGATTTCAAAATAGGTTAATTGTTTGAATCAATCCAATTAAATGATATATTCAGTGAGAAAGAAAACTGGATAATATTTTGAAAACTTGATCTTCAAGTTCATTTGCTACCACAGAGACAATTTGACTCATATGAACTTTATTCTGGAGAAACAATAGCTGATTGAATTGTTAATTAATGGAATTGTTACAGTGATTTGCATAAGCTCCATTGTTATTTCTAATTTTTTTGAAATGTGAAATGAAGTTGATTAGTTACCCTAGGCTAAAAGAATATTAGAAAAGAATGAAATGATCTTCTGTCTGTGTTTGGCTCCTCAAAGCAACCTGAGCTTTGAAAAGAGAAGAGAGAGATTCTTTCACAGGCAGGCCCATTCTCTGTGTCCTTTCACTGGACATGTCAGTGGAAGAAGCCTTGAAGCCCCTGAAACACCCTTACAGCAGACATGTAGGGTCTGTGGAATGGTACAGGTTCAGTGCCCACCCCTTATCCTGTGAGGACAGTAGCCCTTAGCAACTGGGAAAACTCAGAGTTCAGGAGAGTAAGATCTGGTAGTCACACCACTGGAGAAATCCACCCCAGCACCCCCACCCCAATGCATGCCTGAAGGACAGAATGAGGCTGAGGCTCTTCGCTCCTGCACTGTATTTCTTGAAGGGCCAGATGGTAAATGTTTGAAGCTCCAGAGGCCGTATTGCCTATACAGAATATGTGGATGAATAGCTGTGGCAGTATTTCAGAATATACAGTATGACAAAAAAAACAAAGGGGACATCTGTAATACTTTCAACAATAAAGATAAATTTTAAAAACAAACTATATAGTATATACATAAACAGGCAACCAACCAATAGGCCATAGTTTTCTAATACCTAATCTATAACTTTAAGCTTACTGTTTAATTCAATTGAATATAAACCTATACATAAATAAATATTATACATATATACAGATATTATGTTGGGTGATATAGATATTTATCCTAGAGCAATCAACTAAATGAATGTATACATATATATGTATGTGTGTGTATATAGATAAATAAATAGGTGAGAGAGAGAGAGAGAGGATTGAGAGTTCTTGAAGGAGAAAGTGCATTCATTTACATTCTAGTACAGTCACCTCATTATTGTGGAGTATCTACTGTGTGTATTACTGATAGAGGACAGTTGTAAGCTTAAGAAATGTTGAATGGACTAAGACCTGGTGAGGTCAGTTTGTGCTAAAAATAATAACTATGATCAAATATATCTGTATAAAGTCTTGGTCTATCTTTTCTTTTTAAAAATATGTTTTTATTGATTTTACAGAGAAGAAGGGAGAGGTGGAGAGAGATAGAAACATCAATGATGAGAGAGAATCATTTATGGCTGCCTCCTGCACACCCCCTACTAGGGACTGAGCCTGCAACTGGCAGCTGGGTCATGTGCCCTGACTGGGAATTGAAGCATGATCTCCTGGTTCATAGGTCAATGCTCAACCACTGAGCACACCAGCCAGGCTCTCTTTTCTAATTAAAGATTATGTGATCTTAGGCAAATTATTTAGTCTTTATAAATTTTAGTTTTCCCATGTGCAAATCATCTACCTAAATTTCAAGATTATTATAAGGATATAGTGTGAAAGTATGTGCCTCAGACAACAGTAAACAACTTCTAAATGAAGCGAGTGGATAATGCTTTTGAAAAAGACAATCAGGGAAATCATTATCCTGGGTGTGGTATTATTTTCTAGCATGTCCTGATAAAGTAAGTGCTTCTATAATTCCTCATAACAACACTGTCTCTGCTTCAACTTATTTTATATATGCCTGTTTTTCCTTCCCCCTTCCTTCTATTCTTATATATGGCATTTATAGCTGCTCTAGGTGGTCCAGTAATCAGATATCTCTAATATAATTTTAAGGATTTATTTTGACATTTAAAAAATAAACCTAGTTATGATTCTAACTCATTTCCCATTCCTGTCTAAAGCAGGATAATTCTGGCAGGCTATAGTTAACAGTACTGTATTGTGTATTTGAAGTTGCTAAGAAAGTATATTTTAAAAATTCTCACCACCAAAAAAAAAAAAAAAAGAAAAACTCTGTGAGGTGCGTGCGGCGGTACATATATATTTTGAACTATGTATACCCTGTACACTTTAGACTTACACAGTGTTATATGTCAATTATCCTATATAATAAAACCCTAATATGCAAATGGACCGAAGGGCTGAATGAACGGCGAAACGACTGGTCGCTATGATGCGCACTGACCACCAGGGGGCAGACACTCAATGCAGGAGCTGCCCCCTGGTGGTCAGTGCGCTCCCATAGTTGGAGCACCGCTCAGCCAGAAGCCAGGCTCAGAGCTGGTGAGCTCAGTGGCAGTGTCGGGAGCCTCTCCCACCTCCAACGAGCAGCAAGCCAAGTGGTAAGGAGCAGCAGGCAGGCGGGTGGTAAGGAGCAAAGGGTCCCAGATGCAATAGGGAGCAGGCTGGGTTGAGTCCCCCCCCCCACCGGTGCACAGATTTTGTGCACCAGCCCTCTAGTCTATAATAATAAAAGTGTAATATGCTAATTAGACCAGACATCCTTCCAGACGACCTCCTGGATGAAGCCAGGGCTGCAAGGGAAGCCCAGGTCCCGGGTACCTACTGGCAGCCAGAGGGAAACCTGGGTCCCGGGTGCCTGAGGAAAGCTGGTGCCGGCAGCCGGGGGAAGGAAGGCCTACTCTTGCACCAATTTTGTGCATCAGGCCTCTAGTCTATATAATGAAAGCCTAAGTGACTGTTACGGAAGAACAACTGGAATGACCGGTTGCTATGATGCACACTCACCACCAGGGGGCAGACGCTCAATGCAGGAGCTGCCCTGTGATGGTCAGTGCACTCCCATAGGGGCAGCGCTGCTCAGCCAGAAAAACTAAAAAAGAAATCATAAGATTGTTTCCCTGAATAAAATGAAAATTAAACATCTTAAAAAAAGAGACCAAATTAAAGTTTAGTGATTTTGCAGGCTTCAGCCATTCAGGGTAGCTTTCTGAAGTGTGTACAACTGATATTCCTATTTGGTAAGATAAGATTGTTATTGCAGTAGGGCTAATGGTGTTTATTTCTAACACAATTCCTTTGATTTAAATCCACATACATTTCAGTGATGGTTCAGCTTGGTTAGTCGTGCAAATTAAAGTGTTACTGAAGCTGATCTCCCAAAAGAGAAGTGTTCCTCAGGAAGAAAAATGGTCAGTATCCAGGGCAGCTAGTGTATTCACCCAGAAAATATCAGCTGTCCTTTCAGAATGTGATACTGATGGATTGATTTAATATTTCTTGGAAGCTTTCAATTTTTTAGGCATCAGAGAGAATTTTCAAAAGACCAGCAGCCACCTGTCCCACCAGCCTCATTTTAGAAATTCATATACAAAGATGAAAAGAGCAGATGGGTAGGAAAGCCTTTCTGCACATATGTGTGCAACACACACACACACACACATGCACATACACGCACAGAAATTAATTAACCAAATTAATGTTGCTTGCAAAGTTTCATATTTAAATTCAGGAAAGTCTGAATTTCTTTACAAGAATTTGTATCTCCTCTGAATTCCTGATTAATTATTTGTATTGCCCTGTAGCTGATTTTAATGTATTCCTTATTAGTTTCACAGGGACAAAAACCAACATGAATGTAAGCTTCAGAGGATATGTTGAATTTTATTCTGTGTTTGAATCTTGAAAACATTTAGAGTGTCAGCAAAATAATTAAAATTAATTAGTTACTATTTCAACTGTTTAAAAATGTTTCAACTAGTTTACAATAAAAGCTCATGTACAGTAAAACTATAAATAATTAACAAAAGCATAAGTTTATTCCTGAGCTTCCCAGAAGCCTATTTGTACAGCACTGTTATTTAGTTGAAGGGATAAATAGAAGTTCCCGGTCAGAGAACATGCTTGGGATGTGGGCTTGATCCCCAGTGTGCAGGAGGCCACAGATAAATGATTCTCTCTCATCATCGATGTTTCTATCTCTCTCCACCTCTCCCTTCCTCTCTGAAATCAATGAAAATGTATTTAAAAAATAGATGAAGTTAGTAAGATAGATGAGCTGAGTTATTGCGTAATTATTAAAGGTCAAGAAATAATATTAAAAAATGGAGGGAGATATAAATAATGTTTCTTAAGTATATATATTGGAAGTACAACTGAAGAGTTACATACATGAAGGGAAGACAGTCTTACACAAGCAGTACTGAAGACTCAGGCTGATATTTCCAACAGGAGTCAAACAAAATCCCATGACCATTAATGTAGCAGCTGCAAATTTATAGAATCAATAGTTTACCTGCTGAAGTGATAATTTCAGACATGGGGATCTGAAGGATTCAGTTGTTTATTTCCAGGGTTAGGAGCTGCAGCTGAGCATGGTGGGGATAGAGGGGCAAATCATGTCACTTGGTTCTATTGGCAAACTCAGAAAGCTGTTCCTACCAACTACCAGACCATCTACCTCTGAGGCTGCCGAATAGCAGGGATATTAAAGGACCTGTTAGTTGAATGAAGAATAAATGTCCCAGAATAATGTTGCCTTAGGCAGGAAAAAATCGTTTTAGTTTGTTAATAATAACTTTGAAGAGGTAGAATTTTTTTTTTTAAATACCAAATGCACATTACAATCTTCTGGGAGGTTTTTTTTGTTTGTTTGTTTTTTTTTTTTTTTTGGTGTGTGTGTGTGTGTGTGTGTGTGTGTGTAATGCTGATGCCTGAGTCCACCCAAGAACAATATAAATCAGTGTTCCTGAATGAGGCATGCATCTCAATTTTAAAGATCCCAGTTGATTTTTGAGCAAAGTCAAAATTGGGATTTACCATTATAAGCCGCTGTAAATATAAAGGAGAGTTTACACAAAGTGTAATCAAATATATACTAAATGAGA